ACTCGCTTTGATGGAAGCCGAGGAGTCCTCTGCACTTCCACGAGGAATCACAGGGATGTTGGGTAAGAGGGTTGGGTTAGCAGCAGGGTTCGTTTTGGTAAACGATAAGCTGAATTGATTTCCTAACGATCGTATAACGCGAAGGAGCTTGGGATTGAACCCACAGTCTTCTGCTCAGTAAGCAAAAACGTTTGCCACTAGGCAGACGAGGTCCTTTTTAATCATTGACGAATCTTGAATGTGGATGGGCTTGAGATTAGACTCATGATGTTCTGCTCAGTAAGCAAAAACGGTTGCTCTAAGGCCACCGAGCCTCTAATATCACATTATAGCGTCACTCAAGTTTTTATAACTATTCAAACCCGGCACCGACGACAACGAAAAGTTTTACAAAATACACGATAAACAAGCGATCTTACCATGCATTTTTAATATGAAAGGATCTGGGACCGCGTTTTTCTCCTCAGTAAGCAAGCCACTGCAACCGACGATCTTTGAAATCCTAAAACTAGAAGCTACGAAAGAGTACTTAGGCCTTCATTAAGATCCACTTTCACGCGACGTTCAATGTTTCGATTTTCTCTTTACGCATGGTTCAGACAATCATAACAAGCTATGACCGACGTGACGATTGTTTAAGACCTGGTTAAACAAGCTATTCAACCATTTTGCGGTATTTTGCGGTTGCGAGGATCTGAAGTTCGTAGAGTGCTTTTACCGGAAGGATAGAATCCTTAGCTTGTTTATAGAGATCGATGCTGGAGGTTTTCCGATTATAGTCTTTAGGCACCTATTTTGTTTTGCCTGTACTATAATTCCATATCAGTCCCATATGGGAAAAGTAGGCATTGGGAAAATGACAGTTGAAGTTAAGCAATTTCCATGTAAATAATAATAAATTCATAGCAAATTATTCGATAATTTTGTCAAGTTAAAATCAGTTGTACTACAGCATGCACAATTTATTATACCAGCAAAAAATATGGCGCTTCATATGCGATTATAGGCAGTGTAGTTCTTTTAATAGTGACATGCTGCACATTCCTCAGATGGCAACTAGGTATTGCAGCCGAGAGTTGAAGAGTGAAAAGTATAGTTCCAGGCAGCGATTTCCCTCAATACTCCGCTAATAACACTCAGTTTACACTTGAGAGTATTAACATGACCAGTCCATTTCATGCTGGAATCAAACGTGAAGCAAAGAAACGAATACTCCAAAACGTTCCCAATTACGAGTCGACAGAACTGTGAGGTGGAAGACGTTTTCGAGGCGAGTGAAAAATCATGTATTTCGTCTTATTTCAATTTAACGAAAGGAGGTTAGCTTTGAAGAATCTCTCGAGTAAGATTATGTCCTCTTTTATTTGACAGTGCAGGTCCTCTACGGTATCTTCATGATAGCTTATAGATGTGTCGTCAGCAAATAATCGAATTTTCCCTTTTACTCGTAGCTTCGACATGTCATTAATAAATTTAAAAAAAAACAAGAGTTTTTTCGATATGCTATCTAACATGAAGCTTTAGTGTGATAATTTATTAGTTAGAGAATGAGCTTAGAAGAAGATAGGTAGATAGTTCCGTTAGAGTACGGCAGTATGAAAATTGAATAGAAATTTGAAGTATGTCTTCAAATCTACAGGCAAAAAGTGTGCTGACTTTGCTCAAATACTGCCTGCGGCTGTGGAATAGTTCTAGCGACGTTCCATGGCCGCAGGCAGTATTTGAGCAAAGTCAGGCGCACACTTTTTGCCTGTAGATTTGAAGACATACTTCAAATCTCCGCGTACATCGTACGAGTTAGGCAAAGAGTGTGCGTTTGACTTGGACTGTCGCATTAATGGCCCATCGCTCATTTTCAACTTCTATTCAAGGGGGCTTCCCTTAGCTCAGTCGGTAAAGGCGCAGCTACAAAGCAAGACCATGCTGGAGGTGGCTGGGTTCAATTCCCGGTCCGGTCTAGGAATTTTTTGGGTTGGAAAATTTCTCGACTTCCCTGGGCATAGAAGAATGATTGGACTTGCCACACAATTATAACAATGCAAAAATGGTACAGGCATCGAAAGCTCTCAATTAATAACTGTGGATGCATCTAGAACACTAAGTTGAGAGCACGCAATAAGCTAATATGCGATATGCAAAAAGGTTGTAACGCGAAGAAGAAGAAGAAGAAGAAGAAGAAGAAATCTCCTGCTAGTTTTCACTATCCAATTATGATAAGTGATAAAATTTCGCGATTTTTTATTAAAATTAGCATTCGAAGAATTTATACTTAAAATCTGTATCAGAGACATCTATTTTTTAGTTACAAAATCTTGAAAACAGTAGGGTTTGGGATCTCAATACTATTAAATATTGAATCCTTCGGAATTTTAAGAATTGATCATTGACATTTGCTTTGAACATTTTCCTAAGTCCTTATGAAATTTATCCTCCTCCCGAGAAATTTTTAGAATCATAAATTAAAAGTTCTATTAAATTTTGGTACCTATGTATGGCTAAGAATTAATTGATGGTTAAATATATAGAAAATCTAAAAAAAAATCTAGCTACAAAACTCATGCAATTATCTAACTCGAAAAATTATCTAGCACGAGAATTTTCGTAAGTTTGAGATTCATAAAATCCTTCTGAGATCCAGACAATATTTCATTTCATTACAAAATGCTTGAACTTATGATCAGAGCAGTAAGCGTTGTTATGAAATAAATATAATAATGACGAATACTTTATCTGTGCCAAAAGCTGTAACAAACGTTGTGCCGAACGTGTCGAAGTGTGGCAATCAAGGTGTCAATCTCTGTATCCCATGAGTTTGGCAACCCTGCAGTTGTGACTTTTGAGATCGTTTGTTTACAATTTCAAGCTCTCATGGACGGTTAATTGAAAAACGAAGAAAAAAGTTGTGATCATATTCTAATATTAAACGACCTATTTGATTACATATGAAACACGAGTGCCTGTCCTGTTGAAAGTAAAATGAGCATAAAATAACACGCGTGAGTCATTCCTTTCTCTTGGTTCAACGATGCCAAACGAATGTTTCATGAAGGAACGACAAATTCGATCGCAGCAGAGAATACAGCAAGGATTACGAGTTCAAGTAGCACCACGCAAGCATCATCACAAGCATAGATTCTGATTTTGGATTCATCTCAGAAAAGGCAGAAGTAGAAAATCATCATTCGGCTCCGGTAAAAAACGCGAATGACGATGCCACTTATTTCAAGATTTTTGAACAGAACTAAATCAGGCTAGCAAAGGCGAACCCAAACCAAGTCGTGGAAGAAAAAAAAAGGTCAAGACAGGGAGGACACCTATTTATACTATTTATATGTTAAAAATGTAAATATTAGAATCATAACAATACGTGTGGGAACACGGAGTTACAGGAACTCAAGTTCGGGGCTGCTTAGCATTCAAAGTCCCATACAGTCCATGGAGAGGTTCTCCACTTTCAGCAGCTGCTCGATGTAGTTGTCAGCCATACGTCACATATCCTCAGCAATTTTACCTATCAATTCTCTTCGTTAGATTTTTCAGGAACTGCTGGCATAAATTTCATATTTTAGCTTCAAATGTTCCCAAAAATGTGCCTAAAAGTAGAGTTTGTTAGAACTGATAACAGACTGAATGGCCGATGATCCGATTCCTATAAAACATTAGCTGTAGATTATTCACTCTCCATACTAATTCGGATCTTTTGAACGAATCCGGATCTGATTGCCCATCTCTAGTATTGACCTGAACTAACGGATATTTATTTTTCACTTGGGAAAAAACAAACCTTAGCAACGGGTACATCGATTAGAAAAACTTCATCGCTCAACAGTGTTGCCGTTTTATATAATATTGTTCGTGACATACTTGTCAAAGTGTTCCTTAACGTGCCGAACAGTGTGCCAGGCTGTGCTTCGGCTCAGTGAACAGAGTTGATTACCCCTTGATTTCTCCATTAAAATAATAGTAACCCTCGCCATGATAAGTCATATTATTCGACGAAGTGGAAATTTCGATACCTTTCCACCAATCTCCATTGATTTATAGCGACTATAACATGGTCACGACACATGGTAGTCTACTCGCATAGGAGTATTGAGCGAAAACCGGGTCAACAGAAGGTCGAAAAGTCTTTTAAATCTTGATGAAAGAGATTTTTAGGCGTAGGCTAGTTCATCTCTAAGGTAAAAAAGTTAATGTTTATAGTATTAAGGCAAAATTCAACAATTTAAATTAATTATTATAATATAATCCTAGAGATGTTTCATCATCGAAGAGCTGAAAGCAAGCTTAAATAGTTTATATCAATACATCCAGCATGAATGAAAATTAAAAAAAGTGTATTATTATTATGTAAATCAAATGATGTCATATATTCAAATAGCTGAAAATTAACTTATATTATTTAAAACAATGGATCTAACCTGAGCGAAGGCTGAGTACAACTAATCATTACGATATAAATCCAAAGATATTCCGTCATCAACGAACTCAAAAGATGTTTCATCATTGAAGAGCTGAAAATAATTTTTAAATAATAATATTTCTTCAAGGGTTTGTCGTGTGGTTTAAACAATTCAACTATTGGTTATTAACTGCGCTTTATGGTCTTGGAACAACTCAACGATGGTTTATTATGGTCAGATGTTCGAAAGTTATTTTTGAAGGAAATGATTTTTTTTTTTTTTGACCACTCTAACATGGAAATGGTCAACCTTAATAACAAAAAAAATATACGAGTCTAATATTTTGTGATCAGGAACAAAACTACCCATTTATATGAAGTTCTGAAAACAACTATATCGTTTTGCTACGGAATGGCTGTATAAGCTTTAAAGATACCTATGTATAATCGGATGAATCAATCATTTTTTCCTGCCAACACTATATACGGTATGAAAAGAAATACCTGCAATCCAGATTTGATCAAAGTTAAAGTTTTTCTTACATTTTCAGTATAAAGTAACTAACACATTATTCTAAATATTCTCTTTTTCTTTCAGACTGCCTTGGAAAATTATACATTCCTACCGTTTAGTGTATTTTTAGCAATATTTTGGATATTTACATATAAAAAGGTTCCTGAGACCAAAAACAAAACGTTCGAAGAAATTTTAGCACTATTTAGGCACGGGAATGGAAGGTAAGATCCTTTAGAACCACCTCTCTCTCTCTCACTCACTCACACACATACAGTACCACCTCGAATGAAACCCAAACCTAAATCATAAACCAACTTAACCACTAACCTCATCCAAACCCAACAAGATCGACATGACAAGTTTGTACTAACAAATCCTAACCACTTTAACCAAACAAGACCACAATTTGCGCGTATTCCCCGATCCCCCGCTTAAATCGAATCAACTAATAATCTCATTTGGATCACCATCGGAACAGGAAATCACGATCCTCGATTCCCTAGTGAAGCCGCATCATATCTGTTCGAGAAAAAGCAACGCAAGCATAAGGAAAAACTCAAAACTCTATACCATAAACCAAACTAACTTTGCAACTATCATAATAAACAATTCAGAATCGTCCCGACCGCTAAATCCGAGCAGCATCAAGTACCTACCCTATATACACATTTATACTACCACCATCAGTACAACTCCCCGCCGTCCTCCCACCCATAAAATCATACGTTATCGAACGAAAAACTTTGCTGTCCAAATTTATCGATACCCGGACACAAACCACTCTACTGAAAAGTTTTCGCCCCATGTCTCAGAGCTCGATAAAAATGAGCAAAAATAATACTCGACCACAGACCCCTGGAAGTCACTTGAAACAGGTAGTGCCCCCACATCACCGCCCTCCCCCCGTGAACGTGAAAGGTCAAATCACGGGGGAGAAAATATCGTTCACCATTATTTAAAAAACTTTCCCACAAACTCCGTGCTCCGTGCAATCCGGAGGACGGATCCCAATCTTTCATTGCTGCAATCTTGTTCAATTTCACGTGCCCATTGTCCTATGCTGCTGCTGGCTGCTGCTACTCCCGCGTTTACGTCCAATTTGACTTCCATTATTCTTTGGCTTCCACTGTGATTGGGACAAACAACAAGAAAATAGTTAACCAACTTTGAAAGCACACCAGCAGCGATAGTGCCAACCAGCGGAACGTATTCTTTGCTAGTTTGGACGGGGGAAAAAACCAAGGGTTGAAAAATTGCAATTTCGTTGAAAATCTTTGCATTGTCTTCGCCGTTGTTGGGATGAAGAGTGGAAGAAATGAGGAAGAAGCTTCAGCAAAACAATACGGTTTATTTGTGGTTTAGCTGATTTCTCCCACTCGAATTCCCGGTGGGACTTTATCAAAGCGATTCTTCGCATCCATTCTCCCCTCAACTTCCAAATAGTTTATTTCATTTTACTAGGTTGTAGATTTATATCATTTTAAAACCTTAATTTTTAAACTACTAAACGAAACAACCTACCAACAATAAAAATACCTAAAACAGACCTCACCGATCAAGTTCAAACTGTTAAGACTCACTCGATTATTACCCATGAATTACTATCATTTACTAAACATAAATGCAACAACTTTGATTTCTCCCTCCTTGATTTTTAGAAACCTTCGTGATAGTAGACTGTACGGGTAAGTTCTGTTGTGTTGATCCACGTGCAAGCTCAAACCAAACCCAACGTCCAATTCTCTCAGGCTTCTCCTGGAGAAAAAATCCCGCTCCTCAGTATCCTTGCCTCACCATCCGCCACACCCACAAAACATGGAATTCGACTTTTCCCGATTATTTCAATGTGAAAGAGAGACTGACCGAAAATCAGCCACCAACACGCACTTTTTGTGTTCTGTTTCTTTCTCAATTTTCCTGTTTATTGTTCAAAAGAAGAAGTACACTTTTTTTTCCCAGATTTCAAATTATTGCATGAAATTTTTCATTTGTTTGATTGATTTCAGTTTCCGAAAATTGTTTGTTATACTTTCAATGCGTATTTAGCGTCCCCATGGCAATTAATGCGCTGCTTTTGTTCTCAATTATCACCGGAAATATTGATATTAAAATTATTTTCACCTTTTGCATTAATGAAGCAATGCTCCCCACGAATCGAATTTCCCATTCCTTCGCCGCCGCTCGTTCACTCATCCGGTTCCGATGGCCACCAACCAACCGGGCGACTGAGTGAGTGGATCACTATAAGACAGAAGAACATCTATCAATGACAATTATGGAACAAATATTATCAGATTATTTCATATGCGTGATTCACAATTTCCAAGATTAAAGCCCCTCCGAATGCTAATGGATGAATTTATAACAGTTTGATGCGATAGCAATCACCCCCCTTTTTTTTTTGTTCTGCAGGTTTGATTTAATTTTTCACACAATCACATGCAAATTTCGCTTGATTTTCAACTCTCACGATCTCACTCATTGGTTCAGGCCCAGTAAATTAAACACCCGCACTTATCGCGCAATTGTTGAGATTTTAATCACATCCACTTCCATGCTTTGCACTTTGGCACTGTTTGGAATTAATTTGGATTTTGATTTATCCTTTTTTAACATTTCGTTCCATGTTTAAAGTAGAATTGATTGCTTCTGTTACACTGGAAAGTCGTTTGAATTTTCCTGATAACCTAACCTTAGTTTGAACATTTCGGCACCCCAGTTGTTGTTTGTGTTGAGGAAGAAACACTAACGAAATAGTGCGCGTTTGATAGATGGACGACATGTATGATACGTACAGGAAATTATCCTCATAACCTCTCTATTTGCTTCTAGATTGATATATTGTACATAAGCTCGATTTGTCATTGTGCACTTGTGGGAGGATTACATCAACATCAGTTGTGAATGATTGAGGGCGCATGAATGGATGAGCGAGGGAATAGATTCCAGGGACTAGAATTTGGTACATGATACTTGATAGGATACAATCCGTTACATTAACATCGAACGGGGAGCTTCTGATATTTTAGATTAGTTGTTGACTGCACTGTGATGCCACTTTACGCTACAAAAAAAAAGCAATAAGACAATTATATTCTCCACCTCATACGATTTTTTTAAGATTTAGCTCCATTAATCCAAAGATTCCAAAACTGGGGTACGAGAATCACTATGGAACTGCTTGGCTCTCCAGCATTCCTCAAAATTTTCCAAATCCTGTCCAAGATTTAACCAATCAACAATTCTATTTTTTATTTAATCCAAATTCAAATTAAATTATATTTCGTTTTAATCTACGTGCTTTAGCTACTACAGTAACTTACCAACCTTAATTTTTATCATATTCTGTGTTTTTTTAACTCTTTATTTGTTCCAAATTCAGAATAAATTAAATTTAATTTTAAACCTAGGTGCTCCAGTTACTACAGTAACTTACCAGCCTTAATTGTTATGATCAGGGTTGCTTCCACTCACTTGCTATAAAAACATATTTTTCGGAAATATTCAATCATTAGATGATATAATGATATGCTGTACTTGTAAGTAACGAGACGAGGGTTTAAAGTATGTGTTTGACTCATAAAACCTGCCAATGTTGCTTTCAGAGCGTCACAATAAGCGATCTTATGATTCGTGAGCGTTCACTCAGAGTGAGCACTCATGAGTCGTAAAGTTGCTGATTATGACGCACTGAAAGCAATATTGACAGATTTTATGTGTCAAACACATACTTCACGTCCTCATCTTGTAACTCACAAGTACTAATTGTCACTATATCATCTCATGATTTCATAATTCTGAAAAACATTTGTTTATAGCAAGTGAGTGGAAGTAACCCTGGTTATGATATATATCTAAGTGTTTTTACATTGTTCCTGCCTTAGCAATTCAGTATTTCAAACAGGTTTTTTAAACCTGCATGTCAGTATAACAATTAAAATCTCAAAACTAAAATCTAAAACTAAATCTTATCTAAGTATAAAGGAAATTAATCGTTCCAATTGAGGATTGCAACGATTTTTGCCTAAAATTATTAATTATTTTGTTGGACATTTGTTCTAAAGTCTCAACATTCGAAATTCTATGTACTTCGGTAGCACTGTACCAGGGAGGCAACTTCAAAATCATCTTGAAAACTTTGTTCGAAAAAAAAGCTAATTTTTGGTCAAGTACTAATCCAAGATATTTCACTTGGTTTGACCAGGAAATTGGCACTCCGTTCATAGTGACTATGTGACTACTACTACACAGATAAAAATTCTGAATTTTAATTGTGATGTAAACATTCATCCACGTAAAAACATTCATCCACGTAATTTGCTACATTGTATGAAATGTCTCAGAACTTTACATGATTTATAATGTAGACTTATATGATATGTGACGCTCCATTTATGTGCATCATATTGAACAGAAATTTACACTACTTTTTCGAACTGTGTTGGTTTCAAAAAGGAAGCTCTAGGCTTATGTGGAAATATTATAAGTTGAGTTTTGGAAGCGTTGGGAGAAATCTTCCATTTTTGTAATAAGAAGAGAAAATATCTAAACTTTTCTGCAGTCTGCTGCAAATAACACGTAGACTTCTTCCTTTAGCGTAAATGCCTGTGTCATCAGCGAACAAAGATTTTTGGCAACCCTGAGGCAAATCAGGGAGGTCCGAAGTGAAAATGTTATACAATATAGGCCCACGAATGCTACCCTGAGGAACTCCTGCTCTAACAGGTAGTCGATAAGGTTTGGAATTTTGATAATTTACCTGCAGGAGTTCTGTCAGTTAAATAATTCTGAACAAATTTCATGGCAGTAATTTCATGGCATGACAGTATAACAATTTTCATATTTAAACTGAAAACTAAAACTTATCATAATCTTAATATAAAAAGAATTAATTTATATAATTGAGGATTGCAACGATTTTTTGCCGGAGATTATCAATTATTTTGTTGGACAGTTGTTCTAAAGTCTCAACATTCGAAATTCAACGTACAATGAAAAAGTACAGTAAAGGGAACTTCAAAATCATCTTCAGAACTTTGTTCTGAATCCTTTGGAGTGCTTGTTTCCTGGTAGTACAGCAACGTGTGGATTTCTATTTATTAGAGAATACAAACATTTTATATATTTGTTGCATTTTTTTAATCCATTTATTTGTAAAGGCTCAAATGTGGCAGCTTTGCGGAGCCAAATTACTTTACATGTAAGTTTAAATAATCATTTCTTACAACAAAAGTAAGTAGAAAGGGGGCTCGAATACTCGCGGTTTACTCGAGATTAATAATTACATTTATTTAAAGGATTGGAACACGAAATTGGGACACAGGGAAAGGGATATTGGCTAATCTTCTTCTTTCTGCTTTTTTCGACGGATGATTGTGGATGAAGCACTGTATTGACGGGCATGTGCTGTGGATCTCGAAGCATTGAAAGCACAGCTGTTATGATGCAAGAGGGAACTTGGGTTGGGATAGTGATGAGAAAATTAGAACACAAAACACTACTAAATACACGAATCAGTACTTTTTAAAAATTCGTTAATTAATCTCATAAAATCGAGATCATGGCAAGCCAGAATGTCTCTAATTGGTGTATTTGGTTGTTTTGCTCGGGCCCTGAGGATCTCACCACATGATGTGAGGTGCAGGACCAGACAACATGCTCGATGTCGTGATAGCCGTTTCCACAGGCACACAAACTTCTGTCTACAAGCTCAATGCGGTAGAGGTGTGCGTTTAACGAGTAGTGATTGGACATGAGGCTGGACATTACCCGGGTAAAACCGTGATTCACGTCCAATCCCTTGAACCAGGGTTTGATCGACACCAGTGGGAGGATCGAGCACCCACCTTAGCCAGCGAGTTCGCTTTCTCATTGCCCGGGATAGAGCAATGAGAAGGGACCCATGCTAAGGTGATGAATGTGAGCTGTTTGATAAAGCACTCAGTGACGATCGTATTTCGTCGAGTGCTTAATCGGCCTCATTGAACGCATAGCCTCCAGAAAACTTAGACTATCCGAAAAAATGAAATAGTGATCATGGAGAAGTGAAAGAATCTGCCCTAACGCATACAATATTGCTGCTAGTTCCGCAACGTATACCGAACATGGTTTTTGAAGCCGATATGAGGCGCTATGAAGATCATTGAATACACCAAAACCAGTGGACGCATTTATTGTGGACCCATCAGTGAAAAATCTCTTCTCGGTATTGACGTGGCGGTATTTGTTCGCGAAGATGGATGGTACAATCAGGGGGCGATGGGGCTCTGGTATTCCTTGAATTTCCTCCCTCATTGTGCGATCGAATCCTACGGAAAAACAACTGAAATCGTGGGATACTTCATTGGTATGGAACGAGGAGGGGCTGATTTCCAGAGTCATGTACTCATAGTACTCGTGAATCGTGTTTGCGGATAAGGAACCGAAATCAAGGTTGCAAATACTCATTTCAGCTAAAATAATGTTTTTCGGAATAATATAACCAAAAGATGGTATGATGGGTTTTACTTCCAACTTACAAGAAGAGATTACGAAGTATGTGTTTGAAACATAAAGCCTGTAAATTTTGCATTCTATGAGTCACAATAAGCGATTTACTGACCGCTGAGTGAGTGAGTGAGTGAGTGAGTGAGTGAGTGAGTGAGTGAGTGAGTGAGTGAGTGAGTGAGTGAGTGAGTGAGTGAGT